TCGTAAAAAGTTTGATATATGTTTTAACAGCATATTTGTAAATTAGAAAATATTGAAATCTCCTTCTGAGGAGACTTCTGATTTTTTTTGTAAATTTTAAGTGATCACTATTTCTATATTAATCCATTTTATCAAATAAATAAAGTGGTATCCCGATGTAGGTCTGTGTTAACAAGATTTACAAGAATCCAATTTACCAGGGATAATTTGTGTAACAACATAAACAGCTTAGATCAGCAAGCAGAGTTCTGCTCTACAGCTTTTGAAAATGCAGTCTTGGACTCTGTATTTTCCATGTTCATTTTTTAACTGTAAAACAGTTTTGTCAATGATTTCTTTTTGTCACATGTAGGTAGGTTAAAAAAAAAGCAAACTCCCCAAAATTAGCTTGATAACATTTTAGTAGTTCGCACATTGATGGTTAATAGTATTTTCAACTATCAAAAGCAAACACAGAAAATGAGTTAAATTAACACTGTTCAATCTATGTGTCAACTGCTAGAATTAAAAGATGTTTTAGTATCTATGTACACTTAGATATATAACATCTATATACACTACACTTAGAAAAATATGGTCTTGGTGAGTTGGCAAGGCCATGCTACCTCACAAGAGCCTAAAACCACACCATCCCACAAACATAAGCAAAGCTTTACAGCAAAAAAACCCCCTCTCAAAAATCCATTAAAGTTTCCATCAAAAGGTTACGGAATTATTTAGGTCCAAGTCTGACAATTCTAAATAAAATATTTAGCAAAAAACACAGTATGACCATTTAGTATGTTCAAGGCATGGAGAAGTAGGAAGGTTTCATTGCCTAGCAGATAAGGCAGGAGAAAACCAATTATGATCTGAATATAAAACATATCGGAAGGCAGCATTCACATACAATATATATAGATTGACAAATCAGAGACAGGACTAATTTGGCAGATGTTATGAAAGGACAATTAAAGACTTCAAAAGTTGGAATTAAAGACGGGGGGGGGGAAGAAAGAACTCCTTCAGAAAATTTGATCTTGCAAATTCTTGCCAAATTGTTATTGCTGTTTGATCATTTCCCACCCTGATTTGAGAAGCGAAGCAATCCATTTGAGTGAGCTGTTGAGCGAAAGAGTCTAGAATCTGCTTTCTTAAACATATACAAAGAAAAGCAAGGAAAATCAGTAAATGTTTTCAAGATCAACTCAATGTGGAGCTGCTCAAGGCCACTTTCATGAGGAGTTCCTGAGTTATGATGCTGAGAAGCTCCATAATCAGAAAGCTTTCCTTTGTGAAGTTGAACTTAGAGGTCCCATAAAAAGTTGTATTGCTGGCTTTCTAGAAATGGTGGTACCACACAGAATGTTAAAGGTTGTTTAGTTAAGCCAACTTTGTGTCTTTATTACATCCTTTCTTGAATGCTGAGGATGCAAAAAGTGATGTTTTAGGTTTGTTTTGATGTTTCTTGAACCTCCACACATCTGAGTGTTATCAGCTTTTGCAGTAGATGGCACTTGGATTTTGGTGTTCTCCAACTTAAAGCCACTAACATTTGAAAACTCAATAAATTTATTTTGCAGAACAAATTGCAATTGCAGCATTATGATCAGGACTGGCTTATTCTGACACTCCACTTAATTAATGATCGGCAAGGCAGAAATAAATTAAATCCACTATAATTAAAATTACAAGTCCATCTCAGGACCAATGCTACGTACAGCTGTGTTAGCCTTCAACACTAAAATTCTGAACTAGCTATGTAAACTGGTGAGCATAATAAAGAAGCATAATCCCCCACCATCCATTTTTCTAATGCATTTCTGTGAAACAACCTTGCTGAAGCTTTCTATGGAAGCGAGTCTGACCTCCACACTTTTAAAGGTCAGTCTGTAGCCTAAAAGATAAGCTAGTCTGCAGCCTCAGAATAAAGCACACCATATCTTCAAAAATCTTAAAAACATGATGTAAAATACGAAGGTGCAATTTCTTTCTGCAAACTTTATGCAGAACAATGTCATTATAAATAGACTTTTCATGAACAATGACTAGACAATGCTGCCACATCAAGCCGTACTCTACATTTGTAAAACAGATCTGCACTGGACTCCAAAACGAAGACCCCTACCTCTGGCTCAGACAACATACTAAGTTCCACCTCACAAGAGTGAAAGGAGCGAGAAAGAAGGAGGAAGTCATGTTTTAAACTAAGAAACCAAGTACAAGAAAATAGAAGCTTTCTGAAATCCAGAGCTATGGTCACATAAATTAAACCCCAATATTTAGACACAGGAGCACTTAAAATCATGAAATACATACCACTTACAACTTCACAACAACACATTACATGGTTCACCCTTGGTTTCAAATAGGAAGCCAACGGCCTAAACAGATGTTAAATGTTTACGTCCACTCCCTCATATTAAGACTCAAGTTCTCACCCACGTTTAATCATATTCATAATACTTTTAAGTATTAGATCTTAGTTAAAACACAAGCAGAAGACACAAATTAAGCTTGTTCCAGTAGATTTTCCAAGTGACGGGCACTGATCATGCCTCTCCCTGGACTGCTGCTGGCCAGCCAAAGAATCCAGCACATGGGGTGGTGTTTCCCCACTAACACCAAAGTTGGTGCTAGTTGCTGCAAAGATTGTCTCTTCACAGGTTTCATTTCATTCCAACTCATTTATTTTTAACCACAAGCTCCACACAAAACTGGCTTTGCCACAGAGGCTCTTTTATTCAGGCAGCAGGAAACAAAACTTAGGTAATGGTGGCCAAATAGCATCCAACAACATCCAACTGTCCAGTGGCAAAAGCCAAGCACTCATGTCACAGCTCCCCTTTATATACATTTAATCAGTACTTTGTAGACTGTATCACACATTTTTCTATTTCAATTCTCTTTTTTTCCTGTGCCTACCATGCTTTTGAATTGTTTATTCACATTACTCATCTCCCAAGATGCATTCAGGTGCCAGTGACTAAAAATATCTCCATTTAGTTCATAGTAAATGCCTTTAAATACTATATCTAAACATTTCCTGTATTTCTGCACGTTCTCATCATACAATAGTACAAGCATATTGTAAAGACCTTTGCTAACTAGATTTCAGTTACAACAGTCAGCCTTAAGTACTCCACCTCTTTAAACTCTGTTCTACTTCATATTTTTCAGGCTTGCACAGCA